CATCTCATTCCAAGTGAATGGGTGACAAATATCCTCTAACTTATTAAAAAACACACAGTCAGTTTTTTTCAACTGCAACATGGTAGTGTGTTGCAGGGCACTAAAGTGGGTATGTTGATGCTTTGGGGTGCCATTCATTGTGAATATGTAAAACAAGACAGTAGAGAGAGCAGCGTACACCCCATAGTGTAGCATGAAGAAGGGAGTTTAATGGACAAAATAAAATCAATAGTTGCACTCACAAACAGCTGTGGGGTATAGGGGCTTGTCAGGTGTCTTGGAGGATAAGTCAAGAGTCAGTGTATGAGCTCTCCCAGATCTCCATCTTGATCACTGGCTGGGGAAAGCATGGGCTGAAGTGGAAATGACACTACTGGCAGAGATGGAAGGAGCTGCTGCATGGTCTGGAGTCCAAGGGACCCGAAGAAGCCTCCATGTTGTCAAGATGTATACCTGAAGGTGAGATCCGAGAGAAGCTGCGGGCTGCTTGATGGTGTAGGTGGAGAGCCCGACTCTCATTCCGGGGGATGTCCAAAAGCTGTGAAGGTGAGTGTTTTTCTCTCTCCCTGGATTAGGGGGGTGAGATGTTAGTGGAAGGCTCTGCAAAAATATTCGGGTGGAAAGGGCAGAGCTGTTGTTGGTCAATGTCAGGCTCTCTCTGTGGGCCCGATTTTTGTGTTGCCTAGGGCAGCACAAAATCTAAATACACCACTGGCGCTATGCACACAGTGCAGAGATCAGGAGTGCGCAATGTACACAGTGCAGAGATCAGGAGTGCGCAATGTACACAGTGCAGAGATCAGGAGTGTGCAATGTACACAGTGCAGAGATCAGGAGTGTGCAATGTACAAAGTGCAGAGATCAGGAGTGCGCATTGTACACAGTGCAGAGATCAGGAGTGCGCTATGTACACAGTGCAGGGATCAGGAGTGAGCTACATAGAGAGTGCAGTTTTAAGGAATGTGATATGTACAAAGTGCAGAGATCAGGAGTGAGCTGTAAACACAGTGCAGAGATCAGGAGTACGCTACGTTTCAGGGGTGGACTGACAACTCATGGGGCCCCCGGGCAAAAGGGGATCATGGGGCCCCTGTGTCCTTGCCCAAACTCAAAAAAGCCTATGAAAAAGGTACCAGGGGCATCTCATGGGGCCCCCTACTTACGGGCAGTGCCCGAGATTTTCAAATGGTCAGTCTGCCCCTGCGCTACATACAAACTACAGAGATCAGGAGTGCGCTATGTACACAGTGCAGAGATCAGAAGTGAGCTACATACACAGTGTAGGGTTCAGGATGTGCTACGTGCACAGTGCAGAGATCAGGAGTGAGCTATATACACAGTGCAGAGATCAGGAGTGAGAAAATATACAGTGCAGAGATCAGGATTGAGCTATGTATACAGTGCAGAAATCAGGAGTGAGCTATATACACAGTGCAGAGATCAGGAGTGAGCTATATACACAGTGCAGAGATCAGGAGTGAGCTATATACACAGTGCAGAGATCAGAAGTGAGCTATATACACAGTGCAGAGATCAGGAGTGAGCTATGTACACAGTGCAGAGATCAGGAGTGAGCTATATACATAGTGCAGAGATCAGAAGTGAGCTATATACACAGTGCAGAGATCAGGAGTGAGCTATATACACAGTGCAGAGATCAGAAGTGAGCTATATACGCAGTGCAGAGATCAGGAGTGAGCTATATACACAGTGCAGAGATCAGGAGTGAGCTATATACACAGTGCAGAGATTAGGAGTGAGCTATGTACACAGTGCAGAGATCAGGAGTGAGCTATGTACACAGTGCAGAGATCAGGAGTGAGCTATATACACAGTGCAGAGATCAGGAGTGAGCTATATACACAGTGCAGAGATCAGGAGTGAGCTATATACACAGTGCAGAGATCAGGAGTGAGCTATATACACAGTGCAGAGATCAGGAGTGAGCTATGTACACAGTGCAGAGATCAGGAGTGAGCTATATACATAGTGCAGAGATCAGAAGTGAGCTATATACACAGTGCAGAGATCAGGAGTGAGCTATATACACAGTGCAGAGATCAGAAGTGAGCTATATACACAGTGCAGAGATCAGGAGTGAGCTATATACACAGTGCAGAGATCAGGAGTGAGCTATATACACAGTGCAGAGATCAGGAGTGAGCTATGTACACAGTGCAGAGATCAGGAGTGAGCTATGTACACAGTGCAGAGATCAGGAGTGAGCTACGTACACAGTGCAGAGATCAGGAGTGAGCTACGTACACAGTACAGTACAGAGATCAGGAGTGAGCTACATACACAGTGCAGAGATCAGGAGTGAGCTACATACACAGTGCAGAGATCAGGAGCGCACTATGTACACAGTGCAGGGTTAAGAAATGTGCTAAGTACAGGGGTAGGGGCTCATTTCACGGTCACTCTTTCTCCTGCTCTCTCCCACCACAGATAGATGGTCTGGAAGAGTTGGACCCCCATACCCCCCCCCCCCCCCATCTATGCCACAGATATCTTCCAGCTTTCTAAAATGGGGAAAATGGACACATTGCGGTTGATTTACTAAAGGCAAATAGACTGTGCATTGTGCAAGTACAGATGTTTCAAAACTTAGTGAATGAGGGAAAGCTGTACTGACTTTCATCATCCAATCATGTGCAATCAAAAATGCTGTTTCTTATTTTCCATGCACATGATTGGGTAGTCTTTGTAAAATGTAGCTTTACTTAACGTACTAATCTCTGGAACAACTGCTCATGCACGGTGCACAGTGCAGAGTCTATTTCACTTTAGTAAACCAGCCTCAGATTTCACAACATTTGTAACCAAAGAACACATCCCTTCAATGTTTCTGGTTAGAGTGGCCAGAATTAAATAATTGGTGAAAAACTGCTTTTTCCAACCACATTACTGGCTTTTCAGCATAACAAATGCAATCAATTAGGGGTTCATGAAATGTGTAGTGCAGTAAAACAATTTTAAAAGTTAAAAATGCATTTGTTATAGAAATATACATCAGACTAAACAGAGGGACAACTGATGAAAAAAGACACAAATGGGATTTGGTTCTACATGAGGGACAGTCGGGAGCTATGCCATACACCGCGTTCCAGATTATTATGCAAATTCTATTTAAGTGTCACAAAGATTAAATATTTTGTTTTTCAGTTTAACTCATGGATGGCATTGTGTGTCAGGGCTCTTTTGATCACTGAAAACAATCTCGGACACCTGTGATAATTAGATTGGCAGGTGAGCCCAATTTAAGGAAAAACTACTAAAGGAGGGTGTTCCACATTATTAAGCAGAGCACCATTTTCAAGCAATATGGGGAAGAAAAAGGATCTCTCTGCTGCCGAAAAGAGTGAAATAGTTTAATGCCTTGGACGAGGTATGAAAACATTAGATATTTCACGAAAACTTAAGCGTGATCATCGCACTATTAAGAGATTTGTGGCTGATTCAGAGCACAGACGGGTTTGTGCAGATAAAGGCACATTGAGGAAGATTTCTGCCAGATCCATGCATCGGATCAAGAGAGCAGCTGCTAAAATACCATTACATAGCAGCAAACAGATATTTGAAGCTGCTGGTGCCTCTGGAGTACCACGGACATCAAGGTGTAGAGTCCTCCAGAGTCTTGCAACTGTGCATAAACCTTCTATTCGGCCACCACTAACCAATGCTCACAAGCAGAAACGGCTGCATTGGGCAGAAAAATACATGAAGACTAATTTTCAAACAGTCCTGTTCACTGATGAGTGCCATGCAACCCTGGATGGTCCAGACGGATGGAGTCGTGGATGGTTGGTGGATGGCCACCCTGTTCCAACAAGGCTGCGACGTCAGCAAGGTGGTGGTGGAGTCATGTTTTGGGCCGGAATCATGAAAACAGAGCGGGTCGGCCCCTTTAGGGTCCCCGAAGGTGTAAAGATGACCTCTGCAAAGTATGTTGAGTTTATGACTGACCACTTTCTTCCCTGGTACAGAAGGAAGAACTATGCTTTCCGTAATAAAATCATCTTCATGCATGACAATGCACCATCTCATGCTGCAAAGAACACCTCTGCATCAATGGCTGCTATGGGGATTAAAAGGAGAGAAATTCATGGTGTGGCCTCCATCCTCCCTGACCTCAATCCTATTGAGAACCTTTGGAGCATCCTCAAGCAAAAGATCTGTGAGGGTGGGAGGCAGTTTACATCCAAACAGCAGCTCTGGGAGGCTATTCTGACATCTTGCAAACAAATTCAAGCAGAAACTGTCCAAAAACTCACAAGTTCAATGGATGCAAGACTTGTGAAGCTGCTATCAAATAAGGGGTCCTATGTTACAATGTAACGTGACCTGTTAAAATGTTTAAAAAATTAAAATGTTTTTAAAAGTTTGATTGAAATAGCTTTTGATTTCAGTAAATATGCTGCAAACACAACAAATGACAATTTTCAGTTCTTTACAACCTATAAAGTGTTTTGAAACTTACTGTGCGTAATAATTTGGAAAAGTGCATTGTAAGTTTTTTATGTTTAAAAAAAATACTGTTATCATTAGGAGGTTTGTTCAATAAAATGTGAATTGTACTCTTAATAGTGGATAACATGAGAATTATGCTGACTGTTATTTACATCAATTATTTAGGTAAATGAGAAAAATATAATTTTCATAATAATTTGGAACACAGTGTATACCTCATTCTAGGTATGGGAGGATGTTCAGCCCCTTATATTGTCTTCTTCACTTCATGCAAATCCCATCTCTGCTTCCTGCCTCATCCTACCAGCTAGAAAAGCTGAACTGACCGGCCAGGATGTTCTAGTGAGATCTTGGTGTCCACTCAGAACATTCACAACATCTAAAGCCAAGAAGACAACATGTTTCTATTCTGTTGTCTTTTGTGTCTGTCCTCATTTCTTGGTAAGTCTGGAATACAGAAAAAAGCAGGAAACCATTCTGATGGGATCATCTTATTTCTGATCATATTTTTATTCTTGGTTACAGGGGTCATGTCACAAACACTTACTCAGCCCTCCTCAGAAATAAAAAAGCCGGGAGAGAGCGTGAAGATGTCCTGTGTAGGATCTGGGTATACATATACCAGCTACTATATAAACTGGGTTCAACAGGTTCCAGGGAGAGGACTGACATGGATTGGGTGGATTTATCCTGGTAGTGGGGGTACAGCGTATTCCTCTTCATATCAGGGAAGATTCACAATGACATCTGATAACTCCATAAACACAGCATATCTACAAATAAACAATCTGAAAGTAGAAGACACGGCCACATATTACTGTGCTAGAGACACAGCGATCCAAGGATGACATCTGTCATACAAAAACATCCAGATGTAATGCTTTCCTCTTACCAGCTGGCTGCAGAATATCCTCCCTGATATTTCTCTATATCACATCAACGCACTCAAAATCCAGAGCATTGCTTCTCCATTAGTTATATAAAGGGTTCCTCTAGACCAGTCATTTACCTTAGGCTGGCTATATACTAGTAGATTTGTAAATGAAAACTGTTAAGAAAAGTGGTAAAGAATTCAAGAGTTTTTCGAAGTTAGTTCAAAATTTAGTTTGCTTTTAATATTTGATTTTGAATGAATTCAAGAAAAAATTTCTGTCCTGCTCTTTTAAATTTTCTACAATTAAAAACGAACATTGATTTGACTGTACAAATGATTAGAAAATTGAACAAACGCGCTTAAAATTAAACATTTTGAAAGAAATCTTACTAGCCTATAACCAGCTTTACAGGACAATAATAACAACAGATTTACTTCTGGGGTATTCATAGAAGATCACAGAGTGAGATATAAGAACAGGTAATGGGAATTCTATTGAAATGATATAATCTCCTTATTACATATGGTGATCTTCCAGTATATCACAGTTGTTAACCACTACTGGGCACTTTAATCCTCTTCCTGCCCAGGCCAATTTTCAGCTTTCAGTGCTGTCGCACTTTGAATGACAATTGTGTGGTCATGCAACACTGTAGCCAAACAAAATTTGTATTATTTTTTTGTGAGAGATAGAGCTTTCTTTTGGTGGTATTTAATCACTACTTTTTTTATTATTTTTTGCTAAACAGAAAAAGACTGAAAATTGTGAAAAAAAAAGTTTCTTAGTTTCTGTTATAAAATTTTGTAAATAAGTAATTTTACTCTTTCACTGATGTGCGGTAATGAGGCTGCAGTGATGGACACTGATAGGCTGCATTGATGGGCACTGATGAGGAGGCACTGATAGGTGGCACTGATGGGCATTGACAGGCATCACTTGTGGACATTGACAGGCATCACTGATGGGCACTGAAAGGTATCACTCATATATAGCACTGATAGGCGGCAGTGATTGAAATTGTTAGGCAGCATTGATTGGAACTGTTAGGCAGCACTGATAGGCGACACGGACTGACACTGATAGGGAGCACTGATTGGAAGCACTGATAGGTGACACTGGCACTGATAGGTGGCACTGATAGTTGGCACAGAATGGCAGTTCTGATGGGCACTGACTTGCACCGGTAGGCACCTTTTATGTGGCATTAATGTGAACTGATGGGGACTGGTATGTGGCATTGATGGGCACTGACAGGTGGCATTGATGGGCACTGACAGGTGGCACTGATGGGGCTACACTGATCATCAGTGCCCTGATGATCAGTGTAGATGTCCCCTCTGAGGAATGCCTATTACCGGTTTCTCCTCTCACGCGCTGTCAGTGTGAGGAGAGGACTGCCGATAACCGGCATATCCTTGTTTACATGTGATTAGCTGTGATTGGACACAGCTAATCACATGACAGAGCCGACATCATCGGCTCTTTACTCTGATCGGTGTTCTGCTGCGTCCCAGGGACACAGCACACCACCGATCACTGTACTGTGCGCTTCCCGGTAACGGGCATGCACAGTTAGAGTGGGAGGATGTCATATAACATCTTCCCAAAATGAGAGAACCGCCACCCGCCTGTCATTTCCATATATGGCGGGTGGGAGGCGATTAAGCTGTTGAACAGGAAGTGAAGGGAAATCTCTCCTATAGAACACAAATGGCAAAAAACAAACTGACAGAGGTTATAATTCTACTTTAAGACAGCCCATTTAAAATAAGTGCACAATAATGGACAAAAAAGTACATGCACCATTTTTTCGAACACAACTCACCACAATGCGTGGTAGTACCTTACTGTGTATTGTGTTACTCTGCAACTTGTGTGTGTCAGAGCTGCAAATGTAACATGCATTTATGTACACTGTGGTCGTGTGCATGTTATTTAAACGAACGCACTGCGCCACAAAGTGTGTTTTGATCCTAGGAAGATATTCCCCCCTTTTTTCAAGTAGATATTTTTATATGTCAATTTTATTGCTAAACTATCTGCATGAAAACTAATATGGATGATTTTTCCAAAAAGCTGTCAATAGGTGCAAAATTAGATTGATCTCTATTTTTGGAAATTCAATCAAATATTAAATGATATAATTGTTTGCTGTGTAATAGAGTAGCAGGGTAGTAGTTGTTAGGTAGTGGATATCATGAAGTTTTTGGCATTGATAAGTTTTACTTACTGACTTGTTCTTCTTAGCAAAAAAAATCCCAGTTTAATTGAAAAGTGATAAAAAAAAAACACTAAAAAACTTTGCTTCAGCACAGTGGTGTAACTAGAACCTTCAAGGCCCCAGTGCAAGAAACCAGGAAGGGCCCCCTTGACTCCCCTTTCTCTCCGAGTCCAGGGCCCTTTACTCTCATTATTCTCGGGCCCTTTATTACGGTCCTACAGTGGGACCCTTTCACATGTTCTGCAGCAGGCCCTGTTCCTGCCATCTTGCCATACTATAGCAGCATACGGCAAATCTTTTTTTGTAGTGTACATATATTTTGAGATTGACCTCTTCACGCCAGCACCTCCTGGCCCTTTAAGGGGTTTCAGACGCCGGAAGGCGGGGCAGGGTTTTAGGATCATGTGACCGCTGTAATTTGTTGTCACAGTGGTCACATGATCGGAAAAGGTCCTGATCGCTAGTTGTGATCAGGACCTTTTCACGAGACACCGACATATGTACTGGAAGCACGCAGGGCGCACTCTCAGCACATATGTGTTTTCAGATGGTACACAAATATGCAGCTGCTCGGCATCAAGGCCCAGCCACCGAGAGGCCAAATATTTGTGTACGGTCGGCATCAAGGGGTTAAATAACATTTCTAATCATATGGATTCATTCATAACAGTCCACCCTTACATCAGAGTCCACAGAGTTCTCCCTTCACATCTGAATCCACATAGTTCCCTTTTACATCTGAATCCGCAGAGTTCCCCTTTACATCTGAATCCGCAGAGTTCCCCTTTACATCTGAATTTGCAGAGTTCCCCTTTACATCTGAATTTGCAGAGTTCCCCTTTACATCTGAATTTGCAGAGTTCCCCTTTACATCTGAATCCGCAGAGTTCCCCTTTACATCTGAATCCGCAGAGTTCCCCTTTACATCTGAATCCGCAGAGCTCCCCTTTTACATCTGAATCCGCAGAGTTCCCTTTTACATCTGAACTCACAGAATTCCCTTACAATGTAAGGGGCAACTCTGCAGACTCTGATGTAAGGGAGAACTATGTGGACTCTAATTTAAGAGGGAACACTGAGAACTCTGATGTAAGGAGGGGACTCTGATGTAGTCTGCAGACTCTGGTGTAAAGGGGAACTGTGATATAGGGGATAACCAGAGCCCCCACTTACATCAGTGTTCCCAGCATTCCCCTTTAATTAAGATTCCCAGAGCCCCCCTTACATCATAATCTGCAGAGCCCCCCCCCCTACATCAGAGTCTACAGAACTCCCCCCCCCCCCTCCCCCTTATATCAAAGTTCACAGAATTTCCACTTACACTGTAAGGGGGATCTCTGTGGACTCTGGAATGTAAAAGGGAACCCTGATTTAAGGGGGGGGGGGGGCTCTGATATGAGGGGGAATGCTGTGGACTCTGGTGTAAAAGGGAACTCTAATGTAAGGGAATCTCTGCTTACCAATGCCCCCCTTACATCAGAGTCCACAGAACACCCCTTACATCAGAATCCCCCTTACATTAGTTTACTCACTGGGAGGCAGGAGAGAGAAGGAAGGGGGGAGACTTCATTCAGAGCGGATGGATAGGCAGGCTGTATTTTACCTCTTCTGGCTGCTGGGCTTCAAACTTCCCACCCTCACTTCTTGGCAGTGTTGTGCCTCAGAGAAGGAGATGTGGGGCAGACACAGGAGGAGAGGATGGGAGGAGGAGGAGCACATCTAGCTCTGTCTCTCCTCTCCCATGCATGGGGGGGGTCGGAGGTAACTGTCAGTGCTGGCTCTGGGCTGTGAGAGTGAGCTCTCTCAGCTCAGAGCCCTGCAGCTGCTGGGGAGCATTAGTCCAGCCCAGGGGCGGACTGACAACTCATGGGGCCCCCGGGCAATAGGGGATCATGGGGCACCTGTGCCCTTGCCCACACTCAAAGCACACCAAAAAAAAACCTATAAAAAAGGTACCAGGGGCATTTCATGGGGCCCCCTACTGACCCCGGACCCTTGGGCAGTGCCTGAGTGCTTGAATGGTCAGTCCGCCCCTGGTCCAGCCTCTTGGGCCCTCCACAGTAGTGGAACTCCAGGGCTTGCTCGCAAGTGCAACCTTTGCATCCTTGGTAGTTCCAATACTGCTTTAGTATAATACTAAAACTCTAAAACAGATATAATTGTTTGTAAAGCAGGAAGAGGTTATAGTTTGCTTTGCCTGGTTCACCCCCTCCCCCTCATCAATATGTTAATGAAGTTTCTATTTTATTACATATCTGTTTTTTATTATACATCTTACTTTCAATTCAGTGATATCATCTCTGTATCTCTATACAATGTAGGTTGTTTATGGCTAATGGGAAGGGCCAGGAGAATGCTGTACATAGTTTCCTGAAAACATCACCCTCCCTCAGTACTCTTCTCATAACCTTCAGGCCTGATGAAGCCGCGGACTGTCTCTTAGGAGGAGTTACGCAAATTAGAAACAAAAAACAAAGTGGATTGTGCAGAAAATGTTTTAATGAATAAAAATGGTAAGATTTTATTTACGATGAAGTAGCTTGATTAGAGCATATCACCAGAAGAACCCAAATGAACACAAATGCCCAAATTAACTGCTCCATATCTGCAGCTGTATCCTCAAAATGAGGCAGGGAAACAAAAAAGGGCAGTCAGTGAGTGGGAACACATTCAGAGTGCAAAGTGCATGAAAACAAACAGATGTCAACAAGTTTGGAGGCTCAAACGGCAGTCAGCATCAGCACAGAGACTGGAGATGAAGAACACGCATAGCCCATTTTGCCATCACCTAATAGAGAAACTATACATAACCACACATGATATGTAAATGGATAATACATGTGAAAATAAACTTGTTTAAAAATAAGTAAAGTTAAATGCCCAATGAGCATGGCTTAAAAATTAAATACATTGGTTTTAAAAAAGTATCAACAAACTAAGGGATATACTGTATGAAAACAATTAAGAAACGACTCATTCATAAAACAGCAGTGTACTGCATCTATGAAAATTCAGATAAATGTAAAAGTCTACATAGACCAATAGATGTCACCAGAGTCTAAAAGTAAAACCAATTACAGTGGAAGCTGTATTCACACCTGAGTGTTACTGGCAATTGTCCTTACAGGTGATTTTGGACTGTTTTTTTCTGGTGTCTTTAGACTTATTTTAAGACCTTTTTTAAAAGTCATTTTTATGTGTTTTTCAGGCATTCCCATTGACGTCTAAGGAGCCAAAAACACCCTCATTCTGCTTCAAATTTAACTCAACTACCTTTTTACACTTCAGGTGTCAACCTACAGGCACAATTTAAAATCATAGAATTTTGGTTGTTTTGGGGAGATCTATAACAGGGGATCTGTACTAGGAGGATTTTGGGGAATTTGTTTGCATTCACGGAGGAAACTACAACAGGGAGTGATTACCTGCAGCTGACTTGATGCCAGCTATAAAAAAAGTGGGTAGTCTCTCCTGATTGTTGGGTCATGATTAAGCACTAGAAAAGCACAAAATGCCTTGACCCTCCTCTCCCCCCCCACACCATATTGTTTGGGTGCTGTTTTATATGGAATAATAAAAGATGGTCTTTTTTGGGGGTGCAGCCATCCAGATGTTCTCTGAATGTGATACTAAAGCTTATTTTTTTTGTAAATAAAATAACAAAAATGTTATACTTACCTACTCTGTGCAGTAGTTTTGCACACAGCTGCCCCAATCCTTTTTTTTTGGGTCCCCTGTCAGCGCTCTGGCTTTTCCCCATCGAGCAATGCCTCCAGAGAGCTGCTTTCCCTGGGGGGCACCGATGTATGCTTGCTCCTGAGCCTCTGCTCTATGCGTCCATAAGACACATAGAACAGCGGCTCGGCCCCCCACTTTCCTCTCATTGGCTCATTAGCTGTGATTGACAGCAGCGGGAACCAATGAAGAGGGAGAGTCCCCATACAGCACAGGCTGTTGTGAACATCACTGGATCATGCATGAAAGTTAAAAAAATCTTGAGCCTTTAGAACCACTTTAAATTTAAAGTTTTGCACATTTTTTAGTTTGTCTGCTAAACAAAATCATAGATGTCTTCTTA